TCCCGGGGTTAATTTGTTTTGAAATAGATTAACCGGGGAGTTAAAATGTTTTAACCGGGAGTTAATTTTACGGGGAGTTAATCTGTTTCGCTACACCGGCCCACTGTGCATCTTTTGAAATCCAAAAAAATTCCAATAATGGTTGCAGAGGAGATGTTTAAACTAGTAATAATGGTTGCAAAGGAGATGTTTAAACTAGTAATAAAGTAAGAGAATGGTTTGCAACACTAATTTATAATTCAAAGTTAGGAATAATTAACTAAAACTAAATTTGGTGTGGATGAACACATGGCCTACTTAAATTACACGGCCTGATATATTGCATTTACCGAAAAAAATTAAGAGGCCAGTTTTTTTACGGCTGATATTTAAAAGCTTGAGTTGTTGTTATTGTTATGAATCGTGTTTGCACAATAAATATTTTATTAAATTTTATTAAACTGGTTAAATGATAGTTAGATTCTCTTTTAGTGCTTACATTATTTTTTGCTGGATTTTTAACTGATTGCCTGCTTCAGTTTATTCAAATAACACATAATACTGAAATAGGTTTTCAGAAAGCCATATATCAATATGCTACTAAAAATAACTTTAAGGTGGTACTCGGGTGAAAAACCCAAATTCTTTATTTCTTACTATTTAAATTTGATATTTTGGTACAACAATTATATACAGGTAACTAAGCCTTTAAAAAAAAAAAAAAAAAAAGTTGCAGAAAAACCCTTTTTTGGGTCCAAAGGTCTCAAAATGGTCACTTTGCGGTGCGTCAAATTCAGAAAAAACTACCTGTAGAATGATAACAAAATTTTTACAGTTTGTATATAATATAATTTTACAGGTATGGAAGCAGAATTAGCCTGATTGCATAACTAGATCATAGATAAATAAATCTTAAATACCATGCTTATAATAAAGACTTCAAAATAAAACTTTGGGCTAGGGTAACTCTGGACCGAAAAATATTTTTTCAAAAAATGTTGGTTCTAAACCTGTATCTTATAAAAAGTAACCATGATATAAAATTTCAAGTGTAAAGCTCAAATCAATCAAAAGTTATATGACGCACCGTCCAAAAGTTTCAATTTTGAGATAAATGCAATTTAAGTAATAATATACTAAAATATCACTAAATTTCTTCTACAGATTTAAAAAAAAATGGTTTGCATAATTGATCCTCCAACTCGCTTTTGGATATGCCCCACACATTCTAATTTTTCAACAACTATGCCATCATATAGATCTCTAGCAACAATATCGGTATGACTTAGAGTCTCCATCCCCTATGTATTTTGGATATTAGAGCTTACAACTAGCTTCTGAAGCAACAAAACAATCTACTAAAGCAGCAGCTTCCATAGAACCAGCTGAACCAGTATGATTTATGTTGCATTCATGAGTTGAAATATATTCTTCATATTCATCTGAACCCTTCTTTGCTTCCCAAGATTGACATGACTTACAGACTTTAGATCGTACACGATAGTCTAAACACTTTCCTGTATCGCTTGTTATTACGGTTACAACACCATTTAATGAAGCATAACCTTTTTTTTGCCATGATCCATCACATGATACGGTTACATTTGAAATGCCGATTTTATCTGTCAGTTGCAAATGTGGATTCTCTCAATTCAGTAAAGACATTGTTCATTGAACATGTTGCAACATCAAAATACAAGTTAATATATTTTTCTGTAATTCATTAAACACTGCAACATTTATTGGAGGTGGCATGTTCAAATATCCACAGAGTTTTTCAAAACCAGTCTGACCTTTTCCAATTTCCCTCATAGCAATAACAGAACGTACATTTACCTCAAATGGAGGTCTGCCACGACTGCTTTTGCGTTCACATTCTCTACTTGAATGAAAGGTTGTACACCAACTACAATTTAAACATTGCAACAATAATGGCATTGACAAGCCTTGCTTTCTCAAAATGTCAAATGTTAGACTAATTATCTTTTTATCACAATCAGGGCATGTTGCAACTAAATTAATAATTTGCATAAAAATATCAGTAGAAAAAATGGATAATATTTAGTTGGGTTTGAAAAATTTAGACAGGGTAATAAACTGGTATCATAGGTGAATGAAGATGATGCAAAGTTTATTGGTCTGGCCTCATCAGTGATTTTAGAAGAAAATGGTGTACCTGAAGATAAAAATGGTAGGCTTATTTTCTTTCCAGAAGAAGAAATAGGTGGGTAAGAAGAAGGAATCTCAGCTGATTCTTCTTGCTTTTTTGTGTGTTGATTACCTTTGAATGTCCGTTTAGAAAATGCCTTTGAGTGGCCAGACTTTCTCTGTAACATAGCTCTACTCTTTTTTTATTATTCATTGTTATTACAACTATAAAGAAAAAAGAAAAAATTAATAACAAAAAGGCATAACAAAGCTCCATTTTTTATTGTTGTTGTTCAATAAAAACGAACATTATTGAATAACTTGAACAACAAAAAAAAAAAAATAACACATAAAAACCAATTAAGTTAACTATTACAAAGCTCAGCTACAATAAAAAAAGATAAAAACAAGCAATAAACTAAATCAAATAAACGATGATTATGCAACTAAATCAAATAAACCATGATAAACCATGATAAACCATGATAAAACTAACTAAACTAAAAGATAAACCATGCAACTAAATCAAATAAACGATGATTAAAAACATAAACAAATATTATTTCACTTCCAGCTTATCGATTAAAACCTTGTGTAACACTTCTATTAAATTAGTGACTTTTTGCATGAAGTTTATATTTCTGTAAAACAATTTAATGACTTTAAAGCAAACCAACCATGGGTTTCTAGACATATTTTTAGAGGCTTTCAGTAAAGCAAAATTGGTTGCTATGGGCGTTGCTATGGAAGTTTGAGCTCTAAGTTTAATAGTGTCTTTTTTAAAATAGAAATTTAGATATCATTTAAATTTTTTTAAATAAAACAAATTACATAGGCGTTTTCTACATTGCTCAATTAACTTAAAAACATTCACTTTGAAATTTTTACTATTTTTTCACCCAAGTACCACCTTAAATGTTGCTAAAACTACCTAAAACTCTCCATTGAAAATAAAATCAAAGGTTTGTAATTTTTTATTTATCATAATTGAAATTAAAAGATATAAAGAAATATATTTTTATTAGGAATATTTATTGGGTCTTTGTCTTTTTTATAATTCTTTCTCTTGATCTTTCCTTACTGAATAAGTAATTTCTTTTAAAAAGTTATTATAAAAAATATTTTTAACGATACGAGATCTATATTTGATTTTCACTACTAAAATCAACGCTGCTATAATAAATCTTTAAAATTTATTCTGTAAAACTTTTATTTGGATGACAAAGAAAATCAGACAGACGTTGACTTGGACATATAGATTCTCTGTATAAGATAAAGTTTATTGATCACAAGTTTAACATCCACAATTCAATTTTCCAATGTAATTTGCTATTATACCAGCAAATTCTATGCTATCTTCGGAAGGCTGACACTAATATTTATGTAAACAACTAAGTATTATCTTGGATAATATTTTTTAAATTAAGGTTATCAAATGTCTGATAAATATTTTCTTTGCAGAAAACATTATAGAGCAGACTTCTGCCAAAATCTTTTCGCTATTGCATACTCCTAAACTCAATAAAATCAACCACTGCTCAATTATCAATACTTACTAAAACGTAGTTTTTAAAACATAGGATCACTTTGTAAACAGGAAGTAAGAAAAATGTATAGCCTTCTTTAAGCAAATTATTCATAAGAGATAAAGTTGCTTGTAGTTATGTAATAAGAGGATGAGAAGTTTATTTGGTTGATTTAAAATATTTACATTTTGACCAAATTTCAATACAATTTCCAATATCTCTATAAAATGTGGGTTATCACAATTTCTCTATAAAATGTGGGTTATTACAATTTCTCTATAAAACGTGGGATATCACAATTTCTCTATAAAATGTGGGTAATCACAATTTCTCTATAAAATGTGGGTTTGTCATTTTCATAGCAGTAATGCTGAATTGATCGGGTGCATCAAGTTTCCGCTTTGAATTAAATAACTTATAAAATAGTGATAAAAATTGTGCTGCATTATTTTTTTCAAGAAAATAACTCAATATTGCAGCTGCAGTTGTTTCCATGAATTTGTCAAAGTAAGGTTGATAATATATTTGTTGTTTCTGAGATAAGTGACCTGATAACTAATTTTTCTTGTTTTTTTTAAATTCCTGTTTTGTAATTGATCTTTTTCATAAACTATATGAAATATATCATTTGCAATATATAACCAGCAGTAACTTCAACTTCGTCTATGGAAAAATCAAATGAAAAAGAAAATTATATTTCATTTGCACTAAACAAGTTGCTTTTTACATTTTTTATAAAACAGAGTATATCAAATAATGAGCATGTTTTAAATACTCCTTTATAAAATGGATGATAAATAAATAGTTTAAATCTCCACAATATGCTTTATAGAGCTATGAAAATGCATGAACATAGGTAGAATGGTTATCGGTAACAGCAGCTCTTATTTGAAATTCAGATTGGCGCATTGAGGTAATACACTCAGGAATTTCTTTTTTCAACCATAAAGTTGTTATAAAAACTTCAGGTGAGGACTTTACAACATAAGAATACATTTTTAACACTCTTTTTAAACTCTACAATCTTAAAAACAAAAACAAAAACATGCATCATAATATAGTATTTAAATTGCAAAACATTGTTTTACAGTGTAAATATTACTAATAAAGTTTATTTTTTTATTCCTAATATTTGCAATTATAATGAATAAAAATTACAAACCTTAAAATTATTTCCTATTGAGAGTTGTGAGCAGTTTTAACAACATGTAAGATTATTTTTAGTAGCATGCTGATATATGTTGAAATAGCTATCTGAAAGCCTATTTCAGTATTCGGTGCTATTTGAATAAACTGAAGAAAGCAATCAGTTAACAAAAATCCCAAAAAACATTACGTAATTATTCA